CATAAGCTCAAAACCTTTAATTGAGGAACCACTGTATGTCTCCCACAGTAGATCTGTAGTCTCCTCAGCCTCCCTGAGTGTCTCTCTGATCTGATGGGACAGTAGAGAGAAGCAGAGGAGCAGAACATGATGATGATGATGGTGATGATGATGATGATGTGGGTTTGGTCTTCTCTGCTCTAATGGACCAAAGCTCCCAGTGACTCCCTGTGGGTTCTGCTGCTGGAGCTGATCAGGCCTCTCAGGGGAACTCTCTACACACTCACACACACTCACCTGTCACCCTCAGGATCTGGGGATCACACACACACACACACGTATAGCTCCAGTAGACTGACATTATTGAGAGATAATGAAAGAGAGAGACCCTGCTCTACGTGTTTTACTGGTTGTGACTCACTGACTCCGCCCCCGGTTAGAGGGGAATAAAGCAGCTCAGGAGTTAACACACACAGGACCTTTATTCACACACAGCAGAAGATGAACATGGGGATGAAATGTGGGAAAGGTAGATGAATGGTAGTTGTTCTGTAACGGACAGAAACAGAGGTAATGAATACACACATAGCCAATGAGTACACCAGGGCACAAAGGCACAGATACAGAATCTTACAGAATATAGCAGTAATGACTGTATAGATTGCATACGTCACCTGCAGAGTATTACACCACACAGTAAACTCAGAGGGGCAACATGCAATAGACAATAGTAGTAACTAACTATGAAGAACAATATACACGTCACACAACTCACTTTGGGCACGCACCCCATCCCACAAGTCCAGAGATATGAGTGAGTGGAGTTGTTGATGGGCAGAGACAGAGATGTTGCTCTCAGCCACTGCTTGTGGGAGACTGCAAGTGTTGTGTGACCTGCAGCGTCAAGAGGATAGGCAGATGTCCAGCCCCCTAGTAACCTCCCTAGCAACCTATCAGGGCACAGGTCATTCAGGTCAGAGAGAGTTTGAGAGGCAGGTTTATGGTACCATCTAGACTGTCAGGCTCTGGTGGTGGGGGATGGGGAGTGGAATGTGCAGCTCAAGGTTGTGAGGTGCTGATAACCGTCACTGGCGGGGAATTTGTAACAGATAATCTTCCTCATGTTAGCCTCTCCATCTCTCTCTCCTGTTGTTCCTGACTGAACAGAGGATCCTCTCTCACTTCCTCTATTTATCTCTGACATCATCACTAGAGGACAGTCTTCATTTATCAACAGTGTTTTATTCATTGACACACCTCACTGAAAACTACAGTATTCTACCACATTCATTTGTTAGAGTAACACTACTGTACTGAACACAATGTGTATCTTCAACACAGTAGATAGAACCAAGCCAACATCAGCTGGTGGAGAATAGATCCACACTCTCTGAGTCTCCTCATCAACTCTCTCTGTCTCTGTGGTGAAGGTGTGACATCATCATCACACTGTAGAGGTCTGAGCTGATCTCTCTGTTTTATTCCAGTCTGGTTGAACAACTAATACATGATGATAGAGATCCCACTGGCAGATGGAATCTGGAGGACAGATGGAGCCGCTGATTTACTGTGTTGGTGTGTGTGCGTGTGTGTGGTTGTGTATGTATATTATTATCCACACTGTCCAGCAGTGTGCTCCCCCTCTGTCCCCCACAGTAGATCTATAGTCTCCTCAGCCTCCCTGAGTGTCTCTCTGATCTGATGGGACAGTAGAGAGAAGCAGAGGAGCAGAACATGATGATGATGATGGTGTTGATGATGATGATGATGTGGGTTTGGTCTTCTCTGCTCTAATGGACCAAAGCTCCCAGTGACTCCCTGTGGGTTCTGCTGCTGGAGCTGATCAGGCCTCTCAGGGGAACTCTCTACTAGGGCTGACACCATTTAGTCGACTGGTCGATTATTTGGTCGCTAGACTGTTGGTAGACTGAGATTTCTTTAGTGGAGCAGTTGCAAATTGTTTGTTTTTTACACGGTGCACACACCACCTGTCTGATTGGCTCCTGTCTCAGTAGACTAATCCATTGGGGGATGGCACAGTCCATCAAAGACATGCTACTGAAATTGTATATGTTTCTATTATCTAAGAATAATGGTGCAACACTAATATAAATTATATTATTTTATATCAAATGCGCTTTCTCCGGCATTGGATAGTGGTCGCTGTCCGCGGTTCTGAAACGTAATCTACAATGCGCCATTGAATGGCAGCCTTTCCCTATATGTTGCTATGTGCATAATAGCAAAGTTAACCAGCATATTGGTGTTGAGAACAATGTGGCGGAGGCAGCAGAGAAGTAAGGAGATGAGAAAACAGCCCTTGCCTTAATTGTCAGAAACAAAGTGAGGAGAGAGGAAACCCCAACTTAATTAGGTCTATAATCAACAGCTTAACTGTTAAAGGTTCCTGGCTTTATAATTCATCAATATATCTATAGAAATAAGACAGATCCTGCTTTTGTTGCCTGTTTGAGTGTTTGTTTAATAGCCTACTGATTCCAAGCCTCGCGTAACTGCAACATGTCGGATAAAGCAATTTCACAAATTCGTCTGTTTTTAATATTTGCTATGCTGTAATAAAGGCTTTACTATTTATATTGTTAGACCAGACTCTGGTATTACTTATAATGTATTTAGTGTTGTTTACACTGTTCCAAACGGGCAGAAAAATTATATTGTAATCTAACAGCACCTGTTTGTCACACAATATGTACGCAGCTCTCGCTCCTATACACTCCTTGTTCTTGATCTCCTTCTTATTGCCATTATTAAAGTTATTATTATGATCATTATTATAATAATAAATAATGTCATTATCATTAGGAGGTTTCGTATAGTAGTAGCCTTGTATAACCAGCATTGAGCTGTAGGCCTAAGAGCACATCCTGTTTATTCTTAATACCGTAACTTACTTAGGCCTATTTTTCAATATATAGGCTACTGTATCAATCAATCAATCATTCGTTCATGTCATCACACAGACGAGTCATTCATGCTTTGAAATGCAATCAAGCGTTTTAGTTTTCAAACGAAATAACAAAGGGAGCCTTGAATAGCTGAGTGGCGCAGTGGTCTAAGGCACTGTATCGCAGTGCTAACTGTGCCACTAGAGATCCTGGTTTGAATCCAGGCTCTGTCGCAGCCGGCTGCGACCGGGAGACTCATGGGCGGCGCACAATTTGTCCAGGGTAGGGGAGGGAATGGCCGGCAGGGATGTAGCTCAGTTGGTAGAGCATGGTGTTTGCAATGCCAGGGTTGTGGGTTCGATTCCCACGGGGGGCCAGTATAAAAAAAAAGATGTATTCACTAACTGTAAGTCGCTTTGGATAAGAGCGTCTGCTAAAATGTAAATGAATAATTAGCCTAAACAATAAATAAACTGCAATCCATGAATGTAAGCAGCTGTTTTTAGTCTTTGCTATTGTAGTGGCGATTTCCTATGAACAGCCACTGGCACAGGAGAGCGCTGTCCATAACACGTCCACAAGAATTAGCTTTCCCAAACGTTACACTTTATGGGTGAAGTTCCCATTTATTGCGCATATAAAATAGAAAAAGCTCCAATACACATATTCCTATAGAAAAGGTGCAGAGAGATGCATTCTATAAGCTGTATCTGTGATACAGTAAGAACTGCATGCCCTCCTCTCACCTGTGCTAACCCTTCCTGGTCACCTGTGCTAGCGATATACACACACCCACACTTGACCAGTGACCCAAGACCCCAACATATAGTGCCCTCTAGTGTACAAAACAAGTTAAAATGACCCTTGACAGACAACATACACACAACACATAAACAGGCTATAACGGCTCCTACAGCTATAATAAAAGCTTTATATGTTTTTATTTTATTTTATTCATTAGAACAGACTTTCTGGTACACTTCTAATGTATTTAGTCTTGTTTACACTGTTCCAAATGGTCAGAAGAAATGAGAGTGTAATCTAACAGCAGTTTGGCACACACAATACTCAGGCAGTGCTTGCTCCTATACCCTCCCTTTTCACGATCTCCAGTAGTTTCCACAACTAAGTAAAATCTCTTCCACAGATCTGACTTCCCGTTTCCCTCCTGAGCAACCAGTAAACATTCCCCTATTTCCAGTTTATTTTTCACGTCCTCCGCATCCATTTTATTGATTTGATTATGATAGGCTATAGGTCAGGCCCTATTGGTCATGTGCATGTGTCACGTAATGAGAGCAAGGGTTGAGGGAATAGGGAATGTTTTTCCTAAACAAATGAGGGATTTCGGTAACAACTTTTCAGTCAGAGAAACAAGTAAGAAACTAAATGGCTGTAATTATGTTGCAACTTCAACACGGACAGTGTGATAAACACTTGCTGTGCTGTGGTGCCTGTTCGCTGCAGCAGGGAGGAGAGGAGACAACGTGCGCCAGTCACAGGCACTCTGTCATTTGTTTTAACACAGCGTGGCCATCTGACTCCCTCAAGTCATTTGTTTGTCTTCATTATTCCATCACACAAGTCTATATATAGACAAATACACGTTTTGACAAAGAACAGACGACTCTCGGTCAACCAAGATTTGTTTTGGTCGGGGACAGCCCTACTCTACACACTTACACACACTCACCTGTCACCCTCAGGATCTGGGGATCGCACAGGAAACATTTTGTTCCTCAAGATGGCACTCGTTCTGATAATTAGTATCGTCTTTGTGAGTAAAGTGAGTACATTTTATACATTTAAGGTAGCAGCTCTGCTCCTGTTGTTTGAGGACGGAAACCCTCTTTTTCCTTCAAAATCTACAAGTAAAATCAAAACATTGAGACAAACACACAGACAGAGACACATGGATCAGTCTCTTTACCATGTTAGGTTAGTGTGACCTATAGTCGTGTGACTCATCGCATATCTGAAACGCTCACTAAGAGAAGGAGGCTTCACCAGCAGGAAGGCAACCCCAAATTACAGCCAGCGAACTATTAGAGTCTATTACATTGTGAGCTCATACATGCCTGTTTGTTCCGTCTAGGAGTTCACATAGTCCAGCTGATGTATGGCTGTGAGCTGGGTGATGACGGGACCACTCTAGGAGACTACCAGTATGGTTATGATGGAGCAGATTTCCTCAGTCTGGACAAGAGCACTCTCACCTGGACTGCTGCCAACCAGAAAGCTGTCATCACCAAGCTTAAGTGGGATGCTACCGGAGCTGAAGCTAACCTTCGGAAGAATTATCTAGAAAACACATGCATTGAGTGGCTTAAGAAGTATGTCAACTATGGCAAAGACACTTTGGAAAGGAAAGGTACAGTATAATCACTTTGAACTTCGGTAGTGTTGACAAATATGAAACACATATCCCTTTAATCATAAGGTATCCATCACATACATGGTTGAAGAACTATGATATTGAAAAATATTTATGTATTCTCAGTATTTATTGGAATGTTCACTTTATCTGTCTATCTATATTTATATCTCTCTCTTACTCTCTCTCTCTCTCTCTCCAGTTCCTCCTTCAGTGTCTCTGCTCCAGAAGACTCCCTCCTCTCCAGTGACCTGCCACGCAACAGGTTTCTACCCCAGTGGAGTCATGGTGTTCTGGCAGAAAGACGGACAAGAACAGCATGAAGATGTGGAGCATGAAGAGACTCTCTCCAACGATGACGGAACCTTCCAGAAAAGCTCCCACCTGACAGTGATGCCTGAGGAGTGGAAGAAGAACAAGTATCAGTGTGTGGTTCAAGTCACGGGTATCAAGGAGGACTTCATCAAGGTTCTGACTGAGTCTGAGATCAAGACCAACTGGGGTAAGAGGGAGAGATTCAAATACACACTATACTCAACCCTCCTGCTCAATGTGCCCAACATTCCTCATTTCTAAGTTCAGTCATCTGCTCAGTAACACTACCTTTCTGACTTTATGTTCTCCTTGACCTCCTGACCTTTTATTGACATTGAGGGATGCTGCTTAGAGTTCATTTTTTGACGAAAAATCTAGTACTATTGTCTGAATGCTCTGTTCTGATGATTACAGATGACCCAACCACCAACTTTGTCCCCATCATTGGAGGGGTGGTAGCTCTCCTCCTGGTCATCGCTGTTGTTGTTGGGGTCGTCATTTGGAAGAAGAAGAGCAAGAAAGGTGAGTGAGGAGAGAAAGACCTCTCTATATTCATATGTAGGCTACACTGTCATCTTAGATATTATCAGCAGTGTTTTAGTTAGTAGTTTAGAGGTAGTAGTCAAGTCATAGTACTGGTTTACAATCATGTGTTGTAGTTAGTGATGGTAGAAGTATGTTTGATTTAATGATTCACATAAATAAAGAGTAATGTTGTCACTTACTGTATATGTGATGTCTGCAGTAGGATATGCAGTAGAAATACAGGATTCAGAATACTCTCAAACTGATGTTCTCTTGTAATATTCCACCAAACCAAGCTTTCAGAGTCAATAACAACATCACTTTCATCTCTGTGTTTCAGGCTTTGTTCAGACCAGCAGTAAGTGCCAACCTTCATGTTGTTCTCTACTCTGAAAAGATCACAGATTTTTTTTTTTGTGTTGGACTGTATGATATCCATTTTAGAGTGTGGCGGTGTCACTTTTCATTGTAGCTTCTGATGCTGGTTCAAATTTAGATGTCAATTGATGTAGCGATGTAGTTAATATGGAAGGCTGCATTTACTGTGAACCATGCATTAGGAACTTGTGAATTAACCTGAACTCATGGATTATCTTTAAGTCAGTCTTTTTTTCTAACATTGGGGTTTCATTTCTGTTTTAGCTTCCGACACTGACTCTGACAACTCTGGGAAAGGTGCCCAGAAGATTTGAGAGACCTCTGCACTTCTGTAACATCAGAGTAAGTCACTATGGTGTCCTCATATTAATGAGCAAACTGATACAACCATTACCACACTGGTACACAGTCTTACTGTCTATACTGTGTTTATGTGTGTGTAACCTCTCTCTCTTATGTGTTTTAGGAAGGAGCTGAAGAGGACAGCGGCAAAATGGAAACAACAAACTTCTCAAGAACATAACACATGTATTCTTACACACACATTAGTCTCACACACACACACACACACACACACACCACAGGAGATTGGTGCCACCTAATTGAGGAGAGTGGGCTTGTGGTAATGGCTTGAGTGGAATGAGACCAAATACATCAAACACATGGTTTCCATGTGTTTGATGCCATTCGATTTTCTCAGTTCCGGACATTATTATGAGCTGTCCTCCCCTCAGCAGCCTCCTGTGACACACACACTGTAAACACAGATCTAGATATCAACAACACAATCTGCTGTCAAAAATATTCATTGGTGATTTTCATTTGAACAGTTTTACTTTAATTTAATCTATGGTTTGGCTTTTTAAAAGTTGTGCTGTAATTTTGTTGAATTATATAATGTAATATTGCCACTGTGTGAGGTTATCTCATTCTTATAGGTATATTAGAATCAATGGAACACCATGAAAGTGTCTTTCTGGAAAGGGTTAGATTGTTGTGAGATGCTAAATTAAGATTTTAACTTAGATTATTCTACAAATAAAACATAAATTAGCTTGATTTTCCCTTAAGTGAAGCCATCAAAACAACCACATTTAAAAGATATTGCTGTAAACTGGAAAAATATAACTATTTTGTTTCAATGTGTAGTGTAGCTGAATATATGTGTATGTTTTAGTGGTATAACATACAGTAATTGTGTGACAGGTTATAACTTTGCTCACACTTTAACTTGTTTAATTGTATGGCCGTAAACCAGACAAGGCCTATCCACATGTTCCATTTGTACATTTTTCTCTTTAACCGAAAGTGGCTTTATTGTTCTAGTTTTTTAGCTTTTATGATACGTTTGATTTCTGATATTTTTTGGCTAGTAGGTTCTGTAGAAATAAGTTGGTGATGGGGCAAGTTGAACAATGATTTTATTGGAAGTGTTTGTGCTTTGTACATTATGGATGCTCTGAAAACAGGATAGTAAATGTGATCCATTTAAGAGATACATAATCAACCAGCGAAACGACAAATTAAGAGACCAAATTCATGCATTCTGTAATAATGTTCTTACACTTTTCAATAAAGTCCACAAAATTTGAATGAAAGTGTCATACTGGACCTTTTAATAATGTTTGCAGTAAGATATTATGTTCTAAACAGCAAAGGATTTGAAGTGAAACAATATCATTTTGTATATGGACTTATGAAAGGTGATGGGGTGGCAGGTCGGCTAGTGGTGAAGAGTATTGGGCCAGTAGCCGACTAGGACAAAATCTGTCTGTGCCCTTGAGCAAGGCACTTAACCCTTATTGCTCCTGTAAATTGCTCTGGATTACAGCGTCTGATGACTAAAATGTCAAATGTAAATGTTTGATTAAAATGCTTCTTAAAAAGGGGGATAATCTCTACACTGTTTATTTTGTCATTATCATATGATACAGATTAGGATAAATCACTGCTAGTTTTCATTCTCTTCTAATCAGGGACTGATTCAGACCTGGAAAACCAGGTGAGTGAACTCTGGCCACTGAATCAATGACATTTATTGATCAATAAACAGCCATGCAGAAAAACTGAAGCAGTACATCAGCCTTCTAGGGCTGAAATGAATAGTGCTATAAAAACCTGTTGTACAGAATCCTGCCTGGCAACATGACATCGACGTTGGGTTCATTTTTAAATAGGCTACTGTTGATAATTAAGACTTTTATGGAATGGTGTTGTTATAAGGGATGCAATTATATTTTTATAATAACCAACTGGGACCTATACTATACTCCCTATGTAACTACTGCACACAATATTCATATCCACAGTGACTCATTTATCAAGCTGAGAAAATTAACATAATATGGGAGCACTAGGCTACATCAGGTTGTATGGAAAATTCATTTAAGCGCCTTAGACCATGTCACATTAAAACGTCCTCTGATAGCACAAACATTGTGTTTGTAAAATTTAATTTGTACAATTAACTACAAAACTAGGGTGTAACTTTATTGTATGGTGCCAAAATATACATGGGTCCCGGGTCAACAATTATGCTGTAAACAGTGCTTGACTTGGGCAGGAGCTCACTGGAGCTGAGTACCGGCACCTGAAATGTTCTACTGCTTGAGCTCCTGTTCCTCTTATAGTAAATGATAATTTTATTCAAACATATTTTATTAAAGGGCAACAACATATCTAGAATGTTATTTATTCAAAAGCCTATTATATTGTTACAAAAGTATTGTGGAATTCCTACACCTAAATGTAAACAGTACCTGCACGCAAAATGAGTACTGGCACATATTCCAGTCCAAGTGAAACACTGGCTGTAAACAACAAAGGGTATAAAGAAATAGCTACTCATTTTGGGTGCTGTACTGTTTACATTTAGATGTAGGAGTTCCACAATATTTTTGTAACAATATAATAGGCTTTGAATAAATAACATTCTAGATATTTTGTTGACCTGTATGAAAGATGTTTGAATACAATGCTTATTAAAATAGTGGATAATCTCTGCCCTATTTTGTCCTGAACATTATCATATGATACAGAGATTAGAATAAATCATGTTCTGTCTCTTCATTTGTCTGGAGGTCCACAGCACTGCTGCTTTTCCTGATTGCCTTCTTATTAGGGACTGATTCAGACCTGGAATGCCAGTTGAGTGAACTCTGGCCAATTAATCAATGATCCATAAACTGCCAGGGAGAACAGAGCAGGTGGAGCAGTACTTCTGCCCTATAGGGTTGAATTGAATAGCCTATCATACCGTATTCACCAAGACCTGTTGCACTGAATCTTGCCTGGCAACAGATGACATCAATGTTGGTAGACTTGTATGGAATGTATTTGCTTTGCTATAAGGGATGTAATTCTCTTTTTATAATAACATGCTGGGACCTACAGTATACTCCCCATGTAAGGACTGCACACACTATTCCACTATTCATATCAACAGTGACTCATTTATCAAACAGAGAAAATGAACATTATATGGGAGAAATAGGCTACTTCAGGTTTTATGGCAAATCCATTCCATTGATTTAAAACTTCATTTGTTAGCACCAACATTTTGATTGTAACATTTAATTTGTATAATGAACTCCAACACTAAGATGGAAATGTACAAAATGGTGCCAACCAAAAGATACCCGGGCGAACACATCCGACTGGTTTGGGACATGTACTGTATTTGTGTTTCAGGAAACAGTTTGTTAGAGGCAGATACTCTAGATAAAATGATAAGGACTTTACTTCCTCCAACTGTTGGTTATGAGGTTATGTTATTTGACCCTTTTGTATGCAAACATATTTGACTTATCCTCTTCAAGTCACAACGTTGTCATATCATAATTGATTTAACGTGTATTTTCACAAGTCTCAACAGACTACAGAGACCCATGGGGCGGCGCACAATTGGCCCAGCGTCGTCCAGGGTAGGGGAGGGAATGGCCGGCAGGGATGTAGCTCAGTTGATAGAGCATGGCGTTTGCAATGCCAGGGTTGTGGGTTCGATTCCCACGGGGGGGGTATAAAAAAATAAATAATAATGTATGCACTAACTGTAAGTCGCTCTGGATAAGAACGTCTGCTAAATGACTAAAATGTCAAATGTCAAAAAAATAAAAGTCAAGGTTTGTAGTATTGTATTAAACAATCCTACAAACCTTTTCCAATGACTGCATAACATACTTTAAAAACACCAGCAAATCAGCTCCAAGTGATTTTAATTTGGGAAATCTGTTTCAAAGTATTCCCACGCATAATAGAGAGATATACACTGAGTGTACAAAACATTAGGACCACCTTCCTAATATTGAGTTACACCCCCTTTTGCCATCGGAACAGCCTCAATTCATCATGGACTCTACAAGGTGTCGAAAGCGTTCCACAGGGATTCTGGCAGATGTTGACTCCAATGCTTCCCACAGTTGTGTCATGTTGGTTGGATGTCCTTTGGGTGGTGGACCATTCTTGATTCACACGGGAAACTGTTGAGTGTGAAAACCCCAGCAGCGCTGCAGTTCTTGACACACTCAAACCAGTGCGCCTGGCACCTACTACCGTACCCCGTTCAAAGGTGTTTAAATATTTTTCTTGCCCATTCACCCTCTGAATGGCACACACACAATCCATGTTCCAAGGCTTAAAAATTATTATTTAACCTGTCTCCTCCCATTCAGCTACACTGATTGAAGTGGATTTAACAAGTGACATCAATAAGGGATCATAGCTTTCACCTGGATTCACCTGGTCAGTCTAGGTCATGGAAAGAGAAGGTGTTCCTAATGTTTTCTACACTCAGTGTATGTGATCGTATACAAATGTAAGCCAGGTTTGAAATGATTATGTTTTAGTCAAATATACAGTGGGGAAAAAAAGTATTTAGTCAACCACCAATTGTGCAAGTTCTCCCACTTAAAAAGATGAGAGAGGCCTGTAATTTTCATCATAGGTACACGTCAACTATGACAGACAAAATGAGAAAAAAAAATCCAGAAAATCACATTGTAGGATTTGTAATGAATTTATTTGCAAATTATGGTGGAAAATAAGTATTTGGTCAATAACAAAAGTTTCTCAATACTTTGTTATATACCCTTTGTTGACAATGACACAGGTCAAACGTTTTCTGTAAGTCTTCACAAGGTTTTCACACACTGTTGCTGGTATTTTGGCCCATTCCTCCATGCAGATCTCCTCTAGAGCAGTGATGTTTTGGGGCTGTCGCTGGGCAACACAGACTTTCAACTCCCTCCAAAGATTTTCTATGGGGTTGAGATCTGGAGACTGGCTAGGCCACTCCAGGACCTTGAAATGCTTCTTACGAAGCCACTCCTTCGTTGCCCGGGCGGTGTGTTTGGGATCATTGTCATGCTGAAAGACCCAGCCACGTTTCATCTTCAATGCCCTTGCTGATGGAAGGAGGTTTTCACTCAAAATCTCACGATACATAGCCCCATTCATTCTTTCCTTTACACGGATCAGTCGTCCTGGTCCCTTTGCAGAAAAACAGCCCCAAAGCATGATGTTTCCACCCCCATGCTTCACAGTAGGTATGGTGTTCTTTGGATGCAACTCAGCATTCTTTGTCCTCCAAACACGACGAGTTGAGTTTTTACCAAAAAGTTATATTTTGGTTTCATCTGACCATATGACATTCTCCCAATCCTCTTCTGGATCATCCAAATGCACTCTAGCAAACTTCAGATGGGCCTGGACAAGCAGGGGGACACGTCTGGCAGTGCAGGATTTGAGTCCCTGGCGGCGTAGTGTGTTACTGGTGGTAGGCTTTGTTACTTTGGTCCCAGCTCTCTGCAGGTCATTCACTAGGTCCCCCCGTGTGGTTCTGGGATTTTTGCTCACCGTTCTTGTGATCATTTTGACCCCACGGGGTGAGATCTTGCGTGGAGCCCCAGATCGAGGGAGATTATCAGTGGTCTTGTATGTCTTCCATTTCCTAATAATTGCTCCCACAGTTGATTTCTTCAAACCAAGCTGCTTACCTATTGCAGATTCAGTCTTCCCAGCCTGGTTCAGGTCTACAATTTTGTTTATGGTGTCCTTTGACAGCTCTTTGGTCTTGGCCATAGTGGAGTTTGGAGTGTGACTGTTTGAGGTTGTGGGCAGGTGTCTTTTATACTGATAACAAGTTCAAACAGGTGCCATTAATACAGGTAACGAGTGGAGGACAGAGGAGCCTCTTAAAGAAGAAGTTACAGGTCTGTGAGAGCCAGAAATCTTGCTTGTTTGTAGGTGACCAAATACTTATTTTCCACCATAATTTGCAAATAAATTCATAAAAAATCCTACAATGTGATTTTCTGGATTTTCTTTTCTGAATTTGTCTGTCATAGTTGACGTGTACCTATGATGAAAATTACAGGCCTCTCTCATCTTTTTAAGTGGGAGAACTTGCACAATTGGTGGCTGACTAAATACTTTTTTTCCCCACTGTATGTTTGTGCTTCTTGCGGTCAATTTGCAGTCTAGAAATTATTTTTTTATTTTGTTTCCGGCCCCCTGACCATCCACTCAAGAAAACATCTAGTTGATAATCCCTGTACATTTGATTTGGACTGGTAACAGTTGCAGCAAATTGTGATTTTTCTTTGGGACATAAACATTGTTTGGCATGTAAGATCTTCAGGTTAAACAAGAGTATACAGTTTGAAAACTGTCTTTATTTGGAGCAGTGTTGGGATCAGTTGAGAGAGAACACAGTGTGCCTGTGTGGGTGTGGAAACTGATCTGGGATCAGAACATGCCTTTCCTGTAGCGGTGGATCAGCTCTGAAACGTCCTCCTTACACACCTTTATCCAGCCGTCCTCTTGCATGTGGTACACTGGACAAACACACAGATACAGTTACACATACATGCATTTAAAATACATACATTCATTTAAAGGTATTGTTTACATGTTATTTTCCTATGGCTTCAGCATATGACTACTTTCTAATATGGATAAAGCCTTATGAGATAAGATTATAATTTAATATTTAGTTATAACCTCTTACATGGAATTCACACCTGGAATTTACACAACAAACACCTACAGTGTCTTCGGAAAGTATTCAGACCCCTTGACGTTTTCCACATTTTAAAATGGATTCATCTACACACAATACCCCATAATGACAAAGCAAAAACAGGTTTTTAGAAATGCTTGCAAATGTATTAAAAATTAAAAATAGAAATACCTTATTTACATAAGTATTCAGACCCTTTGCTATGAGACTCGAAATTGAGCTCAGGTGCATCCTGTTTTCATTGATCATCCTTGAGATGTTTCTACAACTTGATTGGAGTCCACCTGTAGTTAATTCAATTGATTGGACATATATAAGATCCCAAGGTTGACAGTGCATGCCAGAGCAAAAACCAAGCCATGAGGTCAAATAATTGTCCGTAGAGCTCCGAGACAGGATTGTGTCGAGGCACAGATCTGGGGAAGGGTACCAAAATATTTCTGCAGCATTGAAGGTCCCCAAGAACACAGTGGCCTCCATCATTCTTAAATGGAAGAAGTTTGGAACCATCAAGACTCTTCCTAGAGTTGGCCGCCCGGCCAAACTGAGCAATCGGGGGAGAATGGCCTTGGTCTGGGAGGTGACCAAGAACCCGATGGTCACTCCGACAGAGCTCCAGAGTTCCTCTGTGGAGATGGGAGAACCTTCCAGAAGGACAACCATCTCTGCAGCACTCCACCAATCAGGCCTTTATGGTAGAGTAGCCAGACAGAAGCCACTCCTCAGTAAAAGGCACATGACAGCCCGCTTGGAGTTTGCCAAAAGGCACCTAAAGACTCTCAGACCATGAGAAACAAGATTCCCTGGTCTGATGAAACCAAGATTGAACTCTTTGACCTGAATGCCAAGCGTCACATCTGGAGGAAACCTGGCACCATCCATACGGTGAAGCATGGTGGTGGCGGCATCATGCTGTGGGATGTTTTTCAGCGGCAGGGACTGGGAGACTAGTCAGGATCGAGGGAAAGATGAACAGAGCAAAGTACAGAGAGATCCTTGATGAAAACCTGCTCCAGAGTGCTCAGGACCTTAGACTGGGGTGAAGGTTCACCTTCCAACAGGACAACGACCCTAAGCACACAGCCAAGACAATGCAGGAGTGGCTTCGGGACAAGTCTCTGAATGTCCTAGAGTGGCCCAGCCAGAGTCCGGACTTGAACCCGATCAAACATTTCTGGAGAGACCTAAAAATAAATAGATGTGCAGCAACACTCCCCATCTAACCTGACAGAGCTTGAGAGGATCTGCAGAGAAGAATGGGAGAAACTCCCCAAATACAGGTGTGCCAAGTTTGTAGTGTCATACCAAAGAAGACTCGAGGCTGTAATCGCTGCCAAAGGTGCTTCAACAAAGTACTGAGTAAAGTGTCTGAATACTTGTGTAAATGTCATATTTCCGTTTTTTATTTTTAATACATTTGCAAACATTTCTAAAAACCAGTTTCTGCTTTGTCATTATGGGGTATTTTGTGTAGATTGATGAGGGGAAAAAAATAATACATTTTAGAATAAGGCTGTAACCTAACAAAATGTGGAAAAAGTCAAGAGGTCTGAATACTTTCCGAATGCACTCTATCTATGTTTCTTCACATGGTCTCACATGAACTGCCTTAGTGAAATCATAATCGTTATAGAATGAGTATAGGTTTAGAACAAGGTCACTCACGGTTGACCACCCCTCCAGAGTAGGCGTCTCTGTGTGTGGCGTGTGTGATACCGCGGCGACCCAGCTCGTACGCCTCCTCTACCGTCATGTCCTCACGGTAGCCGCTGTCAACCACCCCGTACGCATAGCTGCTACCACAACCAGTAGAGAACATATGACCAGAGAGACGTGTGGCGTTGTCATCCACGTAGTACAAACCAGGACCCTGGACAGTAAGACACAAATATATTGAAACTCATCAACAGACGTGACAATTGGAGGCACTCAAATGGTACTCAAAAATGTTGGGTACCATAAGGATGAAAATGTAGGCTTTCAAATAAACACACACACCACACACACACCACACACATACCACACACACACACCACACACATACCACACACACACACCACACACATACCACACACACACACACCACACACACACATACCACACACACACACCACACACACACATATACCACACACACACACCACACACACACACATACCACACACACACCACACACACACACACGCACCTTCCACTCCTTACTCCCACCCACCCTGTACCTTATTGTCCCAACCTATGATCATGCTGCCCATGGAGAGGCCCATGCCCCTGTAGCCCAGCATCATGTTACACAGCAGCTTAGAGGCAGCAGACACTGAGATCCTCTGCTTGTTCCTCAGTTTGTACAGCCTGAGACACAAAGAGATGGAGGGTCAGTCACTGTATCAGACAAGGCAGTCAGAGTGCTAACACACTGGTTTATTCCAGATACATGTTAACACCCCAGATACATAAAGGGTCAAGGCATTCATGTGGCTTAGAAGCAGACCAAGAAGACTAAGATAGAGAGAGGGCAAGTCAGCATTATGACAAAACATTAAGTAGATGGTAACCACAAAGTCAATGGTTGATACTGATATGGTTGTGAGGTGATTACTTTATGTCCAATGCATTTGTTATGAGTGTAAGGAAATTGATTGGCAAATGTCCTCTTAATCCAACCCTTGCCCATAAGCCTGACTTACACAGACAGGCATTGTTGATTGTGATATTAACACCATGTAACTGTATAGCGGGACTCAATCCCACAGAGACAAGCTCCAACAGACCTGCACTCCTTAGCCAGCAGTCTCTCCCAGTACTGGCAGTCAGCAGCACTGCCGGACATGGTCCCCAGCAGGTAAGGGTTGATCTCTATCACCTTGTTAGCCTCCTTCGACGCTACAGGGAAAGGTAAATACATGGCAACAGGGTGGTTAGACAAAGTGGTTAGAGAATGATTGCTTTATGTTTGGTTATAGATCTCTGGGGAACTGCAATCCATTCTACATCTGGCGGTGTCGGATATGTCTACGACTGCTTCTGGAACAGAAATCTAATGGACCAACTCAAGGCTAATCACATCAACCTTCCAAGGTAAATCACATCAAAATGGATGATCTTACAATCACCACTTGTAGATTTGGTTTAGTACTCACAATACAGTAGGCAGTTATAGTAGTAACAGCAGTATGTAATAGATCCTTTGTAGCTCAGTTGGTATTGCATGGTGCTTGTAACGCCAGGGTAGTGGGTTCTATTCCCGGGACCACCCATATGTAAAATCTATGCATGCATGACTGTAAGTCGCTTTGGATAAAGGGTCTGCTAAATGTCATATATACAGCATACAGTGAGGGAAAAAAGTATTTGATCCCCTGCTGATTTTGTACGTTTGCCCACTGACAAAGACATGATCAGTCTATAATTTTAATGGTAGGTTTATTTGAACAGTGAGAGACAGAATAACAACAAAAAAATCCAGAAAAACGCATGTCAAAAATCTTATAAATTGATTTGCATTTTAATGAGGGAAATAAGTATTTGACCCCTCTGCAAAACATGACTTAGTACTTGGTGGCAAAACCCTTGTTGGCAATCACAGAGGTCAGACATTTCTTGTAGTTGGCCACCAGGTTTGCACACATCTCAGGAGGGATTTTGTCCCACTCCTCTTTGCAGATCTTCTCCAAGTCATTAAGGTTTCAAGGCTGACGTTTGGCAACTCGAACCTTCAGCTCCCTCCACAGATTTTGGCTAGGTCACTCCAGGACCTTAATGTGCTTCTTCTTGAGCCACTCCTTTGTTGCCTTGGCCGTGTGTTTTGGGTCATTGTCATGCTGGAATACCCATCCATTATCCATTTTCAATGCCCTGGCTGAGGGAAGGAGGTTCTCACCCAAGATTTGACGGTACATGGCCCCGTCCATCGTCCCTTTGATGCGGTGAAGTTGTCCTGTCCCCTTAGCAGAAAAACACCCCCAAAGCATAATGTTTCCACCTCCATGTTTAACGGTGGGGATGGTGTTCTTGGGGTCATAGGCAGCATTCCTCCTCCTCCAAACACGGCGAGTTGAGTTGATGCCAAAGAGCTCGATTTTGGACCACAACACTTTCACCCAGTTCTCCTCTGAATCATTCAGATGTTCATTGGCAAACTTTAGACGGCCCTGTATATGTGCTTTCTTGAGCAGGGGGACCTTGCGGGCACTGCAGGATTTCAGTCCTTCACGGCGTAGTGTGTTACCAATTGTTTTCTTGGTGACTATGGTCCCAGCTGCCTTGAGATCATTGACAAGATCCTCCCATGTAGTTCTGGGCTGATTCCTCACCGTTCTCATGATCATTGCAACTCCACGAGGTGAGATCTTGCATGGAGCCCCAGGCCGAGGGAGATTGACAGTTATTTTGTGTTTCTTCCATTTGCGAATAATTGCACCAACTGTTGTCACATTCTCACCAAGCTGCTTGGCGATGGTCTTGTAGCCGATTCCAGCCTTGTGTAGGTCTACAATCTTGTCCCTGACATCCTTGGAGAGCTCTTTGGTCTTAGCCATGGTGGAGAGTATGGAATCTAATTGATTGATTGCTTTTGTGGACAGGTGTCTTTTATACAGGTTACAAACTGAGATTAGGAGCACTCCCTTTAAGAGTGTGCTCCTAATCTCAGCTCGTTACCTGTATAAAAGACACCTGGGAGCCAGAAATCTTTCTGATTGAGAGGGGGTCAAATACTTATTTCCCTCATTAAAATGCAAATCAATTTATAACATTTTTGACATGCGTTTTTCTGGATGTTTTTGTTGTTATTCTGTCTCTCACTGTTCAAATAAACCTACCATTAAAATTATAGACTGATCATTTCTTTGTCAGTGGGCAAACGTACAAAATCAGCAGGGGATCAAATACTTTTCTCCCTCACTGTATATGTTATTACTGTGTATAGGTGTTGTTGGATGAACACAAGCATATGACAGAAATGAGAGATTAATAGCAAATTTTCTTAAATTATAAATCTGAACCACATGCAACCAAGACTCTGCAAGGCTGATGGGGTGAAGTGGTTTTGGTTATCAAGGAAAGCTAATCCCTATAGAATGTGATGTTTACCAATGTAGCTGCCAGCTGAGGCCCTGGAGTCCACAGCCACAATGACACCATGGCGAAATTTGAAAGCCAGTGTAGTAGTACCATGGTTCAGATCTATGGACACACCACCTTCACGGCTGCATGACTTGAGGAACCCTGAGGGCTAGAGAGAAAAAGAGCAATATAGAGGGGAACTGAGAAATGGATTAATCCAATCGTTTAAAAATGAGTGAGACAGCAGCTCTTGTTAGCATATTTTCACGAGTGTGTGCGCGCGTGTATGCTTGTGCGTGCGTGCGTGCGTAAAAACGTGCTTGAGGTGAGTTGTGCTTGTCCATTGAACCATGCTTAATGCTCTAGTTCACTTCACATAGGAAACATTAGATAATGTAGTCAATCATATCATTGTCACAGAAGAAACAGAAACTACACGCAGATAGACGCGTAAAATGGATTTTGGCACATACCCAAGATCACGGTCTCCTTTAACAATCTAATATGAAGACTAATGGATGCGTTGAATTTTTTAAAATGTAATATCATTCATTCATTTTCCAATATGTCTTATAAAAAAAGAATAGGATACTCACATCTACTCCAACGGGAACAGCAAATTGCTGATTCGGTCGGTCGATAAGATGCCCTACTCCTGTTCCAAGAATCTGCCCACGAAGTTCTGAGTGGGACTTATAACCACTTACATCGAAAAGGGCCATGATGATTCAATCAAATATACGAATGTAGGCTAAAATATAAGAATGTAGACTATCTCTTCATTAAAAATGCAGTCTTACTTCACTCGGTTGCATCAAGGAAATGTATTTCCTTACAATGCATACGAAACCGAAAGGGTTTTTAAGGTAACTTCTCATTCGTGATCGAAAAAGTTACCAACACAGTATCTATAGGCTAATGTTCGTAATTGCGCATCCGAAGTAGTATTTGACAATAGCCTAGCCAAGCATATAGTCATACGGATAAACAATTGTTAACAGTCTTGAAGTTTTGCCATAATATATGACAACAATATACAGTAAATTGAGTGTAAATGTATCACACATTAAGCCAATCACAGAGCATTATTTGTGGTGTCATCATTAGTAAATATGGAGAATTACCTGTGGGATAACTATTGTTTCACAATTTGAAACATTTTAAATATCTAAATCCCCTGGAAAGCAATAGTAGGCATATTCTTCATTGGTGCACCATGGCAAGAATATTAAAAACACATCAAAAAGAAGATGCTGTGAGCTGAAAATGTGCTAAAAGGAAAAGGGAAAACTAAAAGTGAGGAGGGAAAACTCAAACACCTGTTCATGAAAAATAATGTAGACATTTTATTCATTCAATCACTTTCCAATATTTCACCCACTGCATATAGACACAGCTATACCTGTTCAAAATGTATCACTCATTCAACCAAGATCTTTATGTCACAAGGTTTTTATGGCTTTGCATTGTAGTGTCACCTAGTAGTCAAGTCTTTTCATTATTAGGTGTATCGTATTCATTGCTTTTATGTCTGAATATTGTGATAAGCCTCTGTGTGACTGTATCTTTGTCCTTTCTGCGTGGTCAGGTTCAGGTGGTATCCATCCGCTGGACTGTCTCCTGCACTACCTCCAGGTCCAGAGGGACTATTTTCTCTGTCAAAATAGACGTTGTACCTGGGCCATACTTGTATCTCTTCTGCCTGAATGAGAGAGAGGGAGAGAGAGAGTGGGAATGAGAGAGAAGAGAGAGAAATTAACCACTGTTCTGTCAAACAACAAGAGTTTTTTGCAAATATGCTGTCTAGACTAATACTTGAAGCAGAAGCTGAGGATGGTGACATCATTTACCTCTTGTCTTTGTACTCTGACTCCTGGTACGGCCTGATGTAGTCCACCCCCTGTTTAGTTATGACACAGATATCTATGTTGTTGCCTGAGCCCAGGTCACTCATTATGCCAGAGTGGATGGCATCCCGGACCAACTCCTTAGCCTCCTCCATCTAGTAGGACACAGAGATGGGGGGTGAGTGAAGGGACTGGGATGGGGAGGTAGGACTACAATATATCCAGCTTAATGTAAGTCCAATGACTTAACTCTTGAGACTTGAACTCTATCGATGCGATAGCATATGAACTAAATGTATGACAACTCCTAGCCTGCCTAAAGAAAATTCACTCACCTCCATATTAGGTTTGAACCTGTCCTCCAGAATCCCCAAAGCAGCCAAGTCACCAGACCCTACACAAAACACGATTCAAAGTAAAACACAAATAGGAATCAACTATATGTAATTATTTATAGATTATTCATGACTAGTCGATTAATCAACTAATAATGTCCCAAACTATAACAGTATATGGGTGTATGCTTATGTTTGCTTGACACAGTAGCAGTCCCTCACCCATTGCAAGGTATGGCACATTGTCTATGCTCCCATAGGGCCCCACTGTGTAGAGGTGATTGCCGGTGCAGTCCACCCCTCCTAGGATTAGACTGGCCCCTATCTGGCCCCGGTACCTAAAGATACACATATGAGATACATTATGAACAAACAAGAATGACTATTTTGAGTCAAACTTATCTGGCATGAAAGGTGGTTACATTGGAGCGGCTATAGTGGTGGATGAGGTGAGTTATTTCAACAGAATGTATTGTTTAAATGGGCAATCTGCGATTTCTACATCAATATTTTGACTTTGAAATTAATGATATATACCCATTGATTCTTGAAGAATGTAATTTATAAATGCCTCATGAGCTTAGTTCCACTGTCGTACCGGTATCAAAACACAGAATGTAAGAATTTTGTACTCCAATGTTTATAAACAATGTAATTGTAAATAAACACTGTATAGCCTCAAAACATGGGCCTAGATTCAATCAGTTCAGCTTTAACCAGCGATAACCGACAACTGCATATCATGTCTTTGCTTTTGTTTAGGCGATGTCGGAGGTGTAACTGCGTTGGAGCTGTCAAATCCAGAAGTGGACATTGCCATAGGATGCACAGGTTCGCATTAGTAGAAATCCCATGCAGCCGTGTTACAAGTTCGAACACTGGAATGTGTGATGTAAACCACACCTCGATTAGGCTGAAAGAAATCATTATTTTGTTTAATCATTTTCAATTTGAGCGTCATAATTTCTATAGAGCCTACACTTTCTCCTTCTGAACTTGTAACGCAAATGGTGTGGCTTTGTGCCAATGACCACAGGAGCAGCCGCTCACCGAATCGTCAGCTCCAACGCAGTTAAACCTCTGACATCGACCTGAATAAAAACAATGATATGCGATTGTTGGTTATCGCAGGTAAATACTGAACTGATTGAATCTAGGCCATGGTAAAAAAAAAGTACAATAATTGACCTCACAGATGGTCAGTCCTTGCATCCATAGCTTTGTCGATTAATTTGAAAGTGGTTACATTTCTCCAGCCCCATCCCTCAGCTGTTTACCAAATCAGTGGCTGGGTGAAGCATTGTTGTTTTTTTAACTGCAGATTGCCCCTTAAAGGCTCTAACGAAGTGTAATGTTTAATACTCTAATGCAGTGGTTCCCAACTCCATTCCCCGAGTACCCCCAACAGTACACATTTCTGTTGTGGCCCCGGACAAGCACACCTGATTCTACTTGGCAACTAATCATCAACCCCTTGACAAGTTGAATGAGGTGTGTTTGTCTGGGGCTTCAACAAAAATGTGTACTGTTAGGGTAACTCGAGGACCAGAGTTGGGAAACATTGCTGTAATGGAGTGGTAAAGATACACACATACAAACACACACACATACACACACACACACATACACACACACACAAACACACCTGAATAGCATGTCCTGTAGTATGTTTACTGCCATCACGACACGTGGGTTCCTGCCGCTGGTCATAGAAAAGATGGTGAGGTTGGATGAGAGCAGGTCGGTAGTCTTCTCTGTGTCCGCTGCAGTTCCTGCACCACAGCAGCTGAGAGAGGGAGTAGGCAGGAGAACAATGGATGTGTGGGCATGGATATCTCAAATAAAAGTGACAAGCCTCAATTTTTTCACTACTCTTACACTTCTCTCTTACACACGACAATCAATTCCATTCTAAACATAAGTCACACATTGACTATACCTTAAACAGGTGAAGGCCTACTCACTATATATTGGGGGAGATGTAGTGGATCTTGGCACACATCTTATCAGCCACCACTTCACCGGAGGTGGCCCGCGTGTCTGCTCCCAGAACCACTCCATCCTGCACAAACAAGGCCCCAAAGAACACTCCATTTTATACACAATTAATTTCAATACACTTTGTCCATCATTTCTGTCTTTTTTAAAGTCACATAAAGACAGGCAAGGATCATGATGATGTACACAGAACAAAAATATGAACGCAACATTCAACAATTTCAAAGATTTTACTGATTACAGTTCATATAAGGAAATTAGTCAATTGAAATAAATTCATTAGGCCCTGATCTATGGATTTCACATGACTGGGAATACAGATATGCATCTGTTGGTCACAGATACCTTAATGAAAAAGTAGGGGCGTGGATCAGAAAACTAGTCAATATCTGGTGTGACCATAATTTGCCTCATGCAGCGCGACACATCTCCTTCACATAGAGTTGATCAGGCCTGTGGAATGTTGTCCCACTCCTCTTCAATGGCTGTGCGAAGTTGCTGGATATTGTCGGGAATTGGAACACGCTGTCGTACACGTCGGTCCAGAGCATCCCAAACATGCTCAAACGGGTGACATGTCTGGTGAGTATGCAGGCCATTGAAGAACTGGGACATTTTCAGCTTCCAGGAATTATATACAGATCCTTGCGACATGGGGCCCTGCATTATCTGTAAGTCGCTCTGGATAAGAGCGTCTGCTAAATGACTAAAATGTAAATGTAAATGTTATCATGCTGAAACATGAGATGATGGCGGTGGATGAATGGCATGACAATGGGCCTCAGGATCTCATCACGGTATTTCTGTGCATTCAAATTGCCATCGATAAAATGCAATTGTGTTCGTTTTCTGTAGCTTATGCCTGCCCATACCATAACCCCACCGCCACCCTGGGGCACTCTGTTCACAACGTTGACATCAGCAAATCACTTGCTCACACAACGCCATACGTCTGCCATCTGCCCGGTACAGTTGAAACCGGGATTCATCTGTGAAAAGCTCACTCCTCCAGCGTGCCAGTGGCCATCAAAGATGAGCATTTACCCACTGAAGTCAGTTTCATCAGCTGTCCGGGTGGCTGGTCTCAGACGATCCCACAGGGGAAGAAGCCGGATGTGGAGGTCCTGGGCTGGCGTGGTTACAAGTGGTCTGCGGTTGTGGGGCCGGTTGGACGTACTGACAAATCCTCTAAAACGACGTTGGTTTATGGTAGAGAAATGAATATTCAATTATCTGGCAACAACTCTGGTGGACATTCCTGCGGTCAGCATGGCAATTGCACACTCCCTCAAAACGTAAGACCTATGTGGCATTGTGTTGTGTGACAAAACTGCACATTTTTGCCTTTTCTTGTCCCCAGCACAAGGTGCACCTGTGTAATGATCATGCTGTTTAATCAGCTTCTTGATATGCCACATCTGTCAGGTCTTGGCAAACAGAAATGCTCACTAACTGGGATGTAAAACATTTGTGCAGAACATTTTAGATAAATAGTTTTTTTGTGCGTATGGAACATTTCTGGGAGATATTTCAGCTCATGAAACATGGGACCAACACTTTACATGTTATATTTTTGTTCAGTACAGTGCTTGACTTCTTGGGCAGGAGCTCACCGGAGCTGAGTACCAGCACCTCAAATGCTCTACTGTTTGAGCTCCTGCACCTCTTACAGAATATTAGTTCAAAAGTATTGTGGAGCTCCTGCACCTAAATATAAAGAGTACCGGCACCCAAAATAAGTACTGGCACCTACAGTATGTCAGTCCAAATCAAGCACTGGTTCAGTATATTATGTTAAATTAACTTAAATATATTAAATGGGACCAAAATGAAAATTGTCCCACTGTATGGATCTTCCACTTATTAGAGATGCCTTCCCATTTCAGTGGACATCACTCTCACCTTGCACACTACTCCAGCTATGGTGGTCCCAGTCTTCATGGGCTTAAGTGCCTTGGTATGTCCTCCCTCAAGCAGGCCCTCTAGAGCAACATTTCTGTTTGATAAAGTTATAGACTAATCAAACATACTGTAACACAATACCAATAGAGGGTACCACAAAATCATACAAAGAAAAGCCCTATCTAATGATGACCAGCGCAATAAAATTGCAGTCAGCTAATTAACACATAGAAGTATGACTTTCATTAAAAGAAAATGCAGAAAGAATCAAATGCAGCCTTTAAAATGATTAGTCTTGCGGGTCTTTTTATAAAACATATTTTCATAGATTATACGAGAGTCATTACTTTCACTTTTGATATAGGCTTGGTATGAGACGAGATAAAGAATTACGATTTACAAAACAAACTCAATATTATTCCTTAAAAATAAAAGGCAAATCATACCTGGCGACGTTCTCGAAATTAAATCCAGATTCAGGTATTTCGAGAACATTTGATTGCGCCATACCTGAAGGGGGTTATTTTGCACTCACTTGTAAGATTTTGACTTCCCTACAACCCTTTATTTCACGTTGCACGAGGTCGCAATTTTATCGATCTGATGTGACCCTATGTGACTAAGGAACGCAGTTTTATCCCTCTTTTTCATCGGTGTTAATAATGGAAAGACACTTCATGGACTCTCAAATCAAAGGAGTTAGCACAGGCGTAAGTACATTGTTTTTTATATTTTGTACCTGATAATGTTATACATTTTCCTAAATTGAAGCTGCGATATACAGTAGCCTACATTTTGGGACCAATTTACCAGAGTTTACCCTGAAGATTTTAATTATAGGTTGCATTGTTGATTTTGTCATTAATTCATCTCGGTACCCTAAAGCTGAAATTCAGGGAAAACGTTTATACATTTAACTTGATAATAATAATAACTTTTTTCCGAAGAACAAATGGCTGAATTTACTTTCGTTTTCGAGTCGTTCATCTGCAACTCAAGCTCAGGGTAGAAATTAGCCTACACTATAGCACTGATCTAGGATCAGTGTAGACTCCCAGAATCCCAAACATAGCCCATCCATTGACCAAGGGTGTCAAACTCATTTTGCTCTGGGGGCCGCATTCAGTTTTTAATAGGTCTGGAGGGCTGCACTGAAAATGGGTTATATTTCTATTGGTTATAAAAAATGGTCCTCTAGCCATCGAATTTCCCATGCTCCCTGTCTAGCTTTCATTTTGGTGAATATTTACGAGCTAGACACAGTCAAGAAACGGTATGAATGTAAGTCCATAATCATTTCTACACAGTTTCGATTTGGTTTTAGTCATTTTAAAGTAAATTGACTTTTTTAACGGAAACCACCCGGATTGGACCCCCTCACCGGCTGGATGTTTAACACCCCTGGTATAGACCATATCCATAAGGAGTAAAATGCCAAACTGACCTTAGATCAGATATAATAAATGTAATAAAAATATTATCATACAAAAATAATATTTTTTATTATATCTTATATTGTAATTGTATGCTCTATCCCTATCTAACTGTGGGTTCGATCCCCGGGACCACCCATACGTAAAAATGTATGCACACATGACTGTAAGTCGCTTTGGATAAAAGCGTCTGCTAAATGGCATATTATTATTATTATTATTATTATATTATTATTATACATTTATTAGTTATTTTTGATGCTCTGCATTTGATCTCTACAGACCACCATCTTGGCGGTGACGTTCAATGGAGGGGTTATCATCGGCTCAGATTCCAGGGCGTCCATTGGAGGGTAACATGCTGACCACACCGCTCGCGTTATGTGCGTGAGCGCTACAAAATAAATGTACACATACATGTTATTCAATCATTGCATCCAAACTGCTCGTGTGTGTCAACGAGAGTCTGCGTAACCAGGCGCTAAAATAGAACTTGGTTCTATTTGTGATGCTTGATGCGCTGCAAGTCCCGCCTCTCCCATCGCCTCATTGGTTTTTAGGAGCATATACCCACTTGTGTGATTGAAAGATGAACTGAGGTCCACACTCCAGTCCAGTTGGTGGTGTTAATGCACCTTAAAGTTGGTTGCCAACTGCAATATAAAGTCCAAAGAAGAAGAAGAAGAAGACTGAAGGAGGAGAGATTACTAGAAACTAACTTGGTTTACCCTTTTATCTGTGGATTAATTGTCGGAGTAGAGAACTTGTGCATTTCAGGTAAAATAACAACCAAATGTTTATATCCCAGGACAAATTAGCTAGCAACAGCAAGCTAGCTAGCTAAATCGCCATGAATGTTTAATGCTTTTCGACCTCTCCCGAAATTAATATAGTTGGTACAGAGTTCGTTTTGATATTTCAACCTGCGTGTCCTGATCGCTTCTTGTGTGGATGGACAAAATCAACATGCGAGCGATGGCGCATGTGGACGCACGTGTGCCCAGTCTAGTCAGCATGTAAGGAGGCTCTTCAACACCTATTAACACCTGGAACCAAGTTAATCATATTGCCCCTCCTTTCCTCTAGACATGTCTTTATGATCAAATACAAGTCTGTGACACGCAACATAATGAATAAATCAAGCATCACTTATAGCAATATATACATTGGAATGTGTCACCAGGAGTCACTATCTATTGTGTCTCTGTCTCCACTTCACCCACAGGTACTACGTGTCCTCTAAGACCATCAACAAGCTGATCCAGGTTCATGACAGGATATTCTGCTGCATCGCTGGCTCCCTGGCAGACGCTCAGGCCGTCACCAAGGCTGCCAAGTTCCAGATCTCTTTCCACAGGTATACAGTGGGGAAAAAAAGTATTTAGTCAGCCACCAATTGTGCAAGTTCTCCCACTTAAAAAGATGAGAGAGGCCTGTAATTTTCATCATAGGTACACGTCAACTATGACAGACAAATTGAGGAAAAAAAATTCAGAAAATCACATTGTAGGATTTTTTATGAATTTATTTGCAAATTATGGTGGAAAATAAGTATTTGGTCACCTACAAACAAGCATGATTTCTGGCTCTCACAGACCTGTAACTTCTTCTTTAAGAGGCTCCTCTGTCCTCCACTCGTTACCTGTATTAATGGCACCTGTTTGAACTTGTTATCAGTATAAAAGACACCTGTCCACAACCTCAAACAGTCACACTCCAAACTCCACTATGGCCAAGACCAAAGAGCTGTCAAAGGACACCAGAAACAAAATTGTAGACCTGCACCAGGCTGGGAAGACTGAATCTGCAATAGGTAAGCAGCTTGGTTTGAATAAATCAACTGTGGGAGCAATTATTAGGAAATGGAAGACATACAAGACCACTGATAATCTCCCTCGATCTGGGGCTCCACGCAAGATCTCACCCCGTGGGGTCAAAATGATTACAAGAACGGTGAGCAAAAATCCCAGAACCACACGGGGGGACCTAGTGAATGACCTGCAGAGAGCTGGGACCAAAGTAACAAAGCCTATCATCAGTAACACACTACGCCGCCAGGGACTCAAATCCTGCAGTGTGCCCCTGCTTAAGCCAGTACATGTCCAGGCCCGTCTGAAGTTTGCTAGAGTGCATTTGGATGATCCAGAAGAGGATTGGGAGAATGTCATATGGTCAGATGAAACTTTTTGGTAAAAACTCAACTCGTCGTGTATGGAGGACAAAGAATGCTGAGTTTCATCCAAAGAACACCATACCTACTGTGAAGCATGGGGGTGGAAACATCATGCTTTGGGGCTGTTTTTCTGTAAAGGGACCAGGACGACTGATCCGTGTAAAGGAAAGAATGAATGGGGCCATGTATCGTGAGATTTTGAGTGAAAACCTCTTTCCATCAGCAAGGGCATTGAAGATGAAACGTGGCTGGGTCTTTCAGCATGACAATGATCCCAAAGACACCGCCCGGGCAACGAAGGACTGGCTTCGTAAGAAGCATTTCAAGGTCCTGGAGTGGCCTAGCCAGTCTCCAGATCTCAACCCCATAGAAAATCTTTGGAGGGAGTTGAAAGTCGTTGTTGCCCAGCGACAGCCCCAAAACATCACTGCTCTAGAGGAGATCTGCATGGAGGAATGGGCCAAAATACTAGCAACAGTGTGTGAAAACCTTGTGAAGACTTACAGAAAACGTTTGACCTGTGTCATTGCCAACAAAGGGTATATAACAAAGTATTGAGAAACTTTTGTTATTGACCAAATACTTATTTTCCACCATAATTTGCAAATAAATTCATTAAAAATCCTACAATGTGATTTCTGGATTTTTTTTTCTCATTTTGTCTGTCATAGTTGACGTGTACCTATGATGAAAATTACAGGCCTCTCTCATCTTTTTAAGTGGGAGAACATGCACAATTGGTGGCTGACTAAATACTTTTTTTCCCCACTGTAGACCACCCTGTCCCTTTCCCTGTCTCTGTCCCTGGCCTTGTCTGGATCGACATAGCTCATGATGATTGATGTCAAACTAATGAAGCTTGATTGATGTGTGATTGATTTGTATTATTATCAGCAAAAGGGAGACCTCCATTTTAGATGTGGTCTTAGTATTAATGTGTAGCCTATGTTTACATTTTAGTCATAAGTCCAGAGTGACTTACATGAGCAATTAGGGTTAAGTGCCATGCTCAAGGGCACATCGACAGATTATTTTCACCTAGTCAGCTCGGGGATCGAACCAGCGACTTTTCGGTTACTGCCTCTTGAATTACAATAGACATAGAAACAAACTGTGGAATAATCCTGATGCTGAATGATGACACTAATGTCTTCTCTGTGTCTGCCCTGTGTGGTAAGTATCCAGATGGAGTCCCCTCCTCTGGTGAAGGCGGCAGCGTCCGTGTTGAGGGAGCTGTGCTACAACAACAAGGAGGAGCTGCAGGCCGGCTTCATCACTGCAGGCTGGGACAGGAAGAAAGGGCCACAGGTGAAGCCCTGGGGCAAAACAAACAGTCAAACAGACAAATACAATAGAACACAATAGAATAGAACACACACACACGATTTCTAACTGTTATCTCACCTGTAGGTTTACACAGTGGCCCTGGGCGGTATGTTACTCAGTCAGCCGTTCACCATCGGAGGGTCAGGGAGCACGTACATCTACGGTTACGCCGACGCCAAATACAAACCTGACATGAGCAAAGAGGAGTGCCTGCAGTTTGCTACTAATGGTAAAAGTTGATTTTCCCTTTAGAATCTCATAGGCATCATTGTTTTATCCGAATGGCACTGTTTTTATGTAGGTTAAACGATGTCAGATATTGAATAATTGTTTTATTTTTTATTGAAAACATCTTCCAGTGGGACAGGACAGTGATTGTAGGATGGGTTTGCTATAGGATTATTGGCACTGGAACACAAGAGAGCTGTTTCCCGAAAACGTGGACAGATATGGTCTCATACCCATCTCTGCCTGCCATCTGACCTATTTTCCTCTCTTTCCTCCCTCCCTCTCCCTTCTTTTTCTCCTGTTCACCCCACCTAGCTCTTGCCCTAGCTATGGGCAGAGACAATGTCAGCGGGGGCGTGGCACACCTGGTAGTGATCACCGAGGAGGGGGTGGAGCATGTTGTCATCCCTGGAGACAAGCTCCCCAAGTTCCACGACGAGTAGTGACACTTCAATCAGCCAATCAGTTGTGACACTGTGAGATGAATTTGGAACCTTCACCCAACCATTCACTGTTGTTCATACTGTACATACATCATTTGGTGTTCATAGGCCTGACTATTCACATTCGTTTTGGGACTGCGGTTAGAAATAAACACTCATGATTTCCAAGAGTCCAATGTGAGAATCTTATCTGCTCCTGCCTATGTGTTTCCTAATCCACACTGTGTTCATTTTGTTTCTGTGCTTTATATATATTTGTACCTAATGACCTCTGTATGGAATCAACAAAATCAAAGTAAAAAATATGTTAACAATGCGTGTAAGTGTGTTTGATTATAAATATGTCAATCTGACAGTCCCCACTATAATTGAGTAAGCTATTTCTGAGGGAATACACACTATTTACTTTGAGGCATCATTAGCAATAGATTAGTAAATATTATCAGCCTGTTATGACAGCAACATACAAATCATTACAATTAGTACATATTGGTACAATTTAAAACTATTATATGATGAGTGAGAAAGTTACAGACGCACAAATATGATAAACCATGCTAACCTCTCACCATTAAAATAACGGGAGGGGGATTATGATATTTATGCCTCTGTAACTTTCTCACTCATCATTATTCAGGATTCATTCAGGACTATCAGTAATCATGGTAGCATCCACATTTAATGTAGAAGTATTTAAAAACATATTCTACTCTTGTTTACAATAAAAGTGACTCCAAAATGACACAATACATTATTTACCATTCATTTCTATTGGGCACAAAATAATCTGAGAAACATCCAAAACAAACACCAAATGCATCCAACAAGTTTGAAGAGTCACAAGCTTGATGTAGTCATTGCGTGCTTGAATATGGTACCAAATACTACACTTTTTACTACTCTACTACACATATAAGTGAATTTGTCCCAATACTTCTGGTCCCCTAAAAAGGTGGGACTATGTACAAAAAGTGCTTTCTAAACGGTTCACCCGATATGGATGAAAATACCCTCAAATTAAAGCGGACAGTCTGCACTTTAACATCGTAGTCATTGTATCATTTCAAATCATTTCAAGTGTTGGAGTACAGAGCCAAAAAAAATACAAAAAATGATCACCTGACCCAATACTTTTGGAGCTCTGTAGGTTTGTGAAATTATTTCGGCCTCTCACTGACAATGTAACTTTCATTTTCATTTTCTTCGGGAAAATGGTGGACCAGACAGAAAGGTATGACAGCTGCTTTCTCAAATATCTTTAACAAAACTCTAACGTTAGTTTAATAGCTATCGTTCGCGAATGTCCTAAATGAGGCGTCGTTTGGTTTTAAATTGCATGTTTTCTTTTTCATTCCATTTCGAGTTTAATCAATAGGCTTCTCACACACCGTGCGCACTGAACAGGTATCAACGTGACCAGCCACTTATTATCTATCGTGCGCAAAAGTAAAGTGCTTCAAGATGTTAGAAGAATCATCAGAGCCAGGGTGGCTATCTGAAGAAGTAAAAACTGGGGTGAGTATAATTTGATGACATGTATGGAAGTGGAATTTATATTAGTGGTCCTCTGTAGCTCAGCTGGTAGAGCACGGCGCTGTAACGCCAAGGTAGTGGGTTCGATCCCCGGGACCACCCATACACAAAAATGTATGCACGCATGACTGTAAGTCGCTTTGGATAAAAGCGTCTGCTAAATGGCTTATTATTATTATTTATTAGCCTCAGATTGTTGGGGTGTTCATTCTGTTTTTGTTAATTTATTTTTATGAATGTATAAATAGAATCTATTGCCTTTTCCAAATGGTCAGTCTCAAAGTGAACTTAGCTGTGTTGAGTCAATCAATTGAGTCATTTAATTATGCCCTCAAGACAGTTTGGAAAGCACTTAATCGAAATTGTGTCTGTGCTTTCCTTTCAGACCACCATCATTGCTATTGAGTTTGATGGAGGGGTTGTGCTGGGCTCTGACTCTCGAGTGTCTGCTGGGTAAGTGGCTGTTCCAAGTCTTTGTGAGCCAATTATTTACTATGAACATTAAACAAGTTATGGTCTTCCCTCAACCCTCCGTTTTTCCTCCATCCATCCTCCCTCTTCTCTCTATCCCTCATAGGGAGACTGTGGTGAACCGGGTGATGAACAAGCTCTCTCTCCTCCATGACAAGATCTACTGCGCCCTATCAGGCTCGGCTGCAGATGCCCAGACCATCGCTGAGATGGTTAACTACCAGCTGGATGTGCACAGGTATTACCCACTGCATGGCTATTTATTGTGGTCCACAATAGCTCTAGTACATTTGGTTGAGTTAAATGTATGGAAAAGGTTTATGGCCTACACTATGCATTTTCTCATGTTCTCATGGGGGTTTGCTTATATACAGTAGATGCAGTTAAAGCATTCTACTATTGAGCTGTGGCTTATGTGACTTGTGACCTCTTTAACTCAGCATTGAGGTTGGAGAGGATCCTCAAGTTCGTTCAGCTGCCACTCTGGTGAAAAACATCTCGTACAAGTACAAAGAAGAGCTGTCAGCACATCTCATTGTTGCCGGGTGGGACAAGAGAGGAGGGGGACAGGTCAGTTATTACATAGAAATGCCACATCTATAAACACTAGTCCCATCTGTATTAATTTCTTTATTGTGTACCTTTCTGAACATTGTCTTGCATCTGGAACATTTAAACTGATCCCTGAAGCTCAGAAGAGGTCATTTTTAATTGAATGTAACAATTTTGTAATAGTTTTGAGTGTATGCTCAAATGAACTTTTGTACAATTAGTAGGGGAGAGCCGGGACGAAAGTAAAAGGGGGTGATAGCAACACGCCCATTTTCTCAGATAAGACAGGAGCTAGAATGACATAGTCCTCTGTAGCTCAGCTGGTAGAGCGCGGCGCTTGTAACGCCAAGGTAGTGGGTTCGATCCCCGGGACCACACATACACAAAAAATGTATGCACGCATGACTGTAAGTCGCTTTGGATAAAAGCGTCTGCTAAATGGCATATTTTTATTTTTATTTTTTATTTATAGTGAAGTCAGCACGTTCCTAATGCAGAGGACGAGCTTCCTGTAAAAAAAATCCGACCATGTTTCGCCAAGCTATCAACAAAAAGTGGTTTTGAGTGATGAAAGTACCCGGACGTGTTTTTCGGTTGTAGAGTTGTGTTTAGTTTTTTAAGGTTCCAAACATATATCGTTTTCTTAACCCATCTAGTGACTAAATGACAGCATAGGTTTCAAGTATCATACTAGCTAGTCTTGGGTGCTAGCCTGGGAGAAGTTACAGGACAGATGGTTGGGACGAATCTAACACAATGTTACCTGATGGCCTGGATTAAAATAAAATTACTTTAAGCACAGGCTATTGTCTCCTCTAGTTCATATTGCATTTATAAGGTTAGCAAAATATCAACAAGTGACAATGTTTGAAAATTATAAATGACATCATTAGAATTATGCCTTAATCAATTGACTTGATGGATCAGCTTCTCAAAAAGCTTTTATCAACAGGTTAGTGGTTAAAAATATATATGTTTATGATTCTGGGGGTCAAATACCTTGTGTCAAACCATGGAAATGTGATAAGAGAATAAAAACGCTTATTCTATCAAGCCTGATAAGGACAGCTGAAGCTTACCTGATTGGTAGGGCTAAGCATGAATAGTAATTGAAAAGGGCTGATAGTACATTTGTTAAAAGAAAGCAGCATTACAAACCAGAAACATGGAGATAAGACAGCTATTGTGCACTTCTCGCCAGCTGTTACTTCTGTCCCAAGGCTATTACTCCCGTCCTGCCAGCAGGTACAAAAGTAACGTTGCGGTAGTTCTGTTCCCGGACTATTTAATTTAAACTAATTTACCCTAGAAATGAAATTACAGTTGCTAATGGTAGAGGACATACAGTGGAGACAACAAGTATTTGATACACTGCCGATTTTGCAGGTTTTCCTACTTACAAAGCATGTAGAGGTCTGTAATTTTTATCATAGGTACACTTCAACTGTGAGAGACGGAATCTAAAACAAAAATCCAGAAAATCACATTGTATGATTTTTAAGTAATTCATTTGCATTTTATTGCATGACATAAGTATATGATACATCAGAAAAGCAGAACTTAATATTTGGTACAGAAACCTTTGTTTGCAATTACAGAGATCATACGTTTCCTGTAGGTCTTGACCAGGTTTGCACACACTGCAGCAGGGATTTTGGCCCACTCCTCCATACAGACCTTCTCCAGATCCTTCAGGTTTCGGGGCTGTCGCTGGGCAATACGGACTTTCAGCTCCCTCCAAAGATGTTCTATTGGGTTCAGGTCTGGAGACTAGCTAGGCCACTCCAGGACCTTGAGATGCTTCTTACGGAGCCACTCCTTAGTTGCCCTGGCTGTGTGTTTCGGGTCGTTGTCATGCTGGAAGACCCAGCCACGACCCATCTTCAATGCTCTTACTGAGAGAAGGAGGTTGTTGGCCAAGATCTCGCGATACATGGCCCCATCATCCTCCCCTCAATACGGTGCAGTCGTCCTGTCCCCATTTGCAGAAAAGCATCCCCAAAGAATGATGCTTCCACCTCCATGCTTCACGGTTGGGATGGTGTTCTTGGGGTTGTACTCATCCTTCTTCTTCCTCCAAACACGGCGAGTGGCGTTTAGACCAAAAAGCTCTATTTTTGTCTCATCAGACCACATGACCTTCTCCCATTCCTCCTCTGGATCATCCAGATGGTCATTGGCAAACTTCAGACGGGCCTGGACATGCGCTGGCTTGAGCAGGGGGACCTTGCGTGCGCTGCAGGATTTTAATCCATGACGGCGTAGTGTGTTACTAATGGTTTTCTTTGAGACTGTGGTCCCAGCTCTCTTCAGGTCATTGACCAGGTCCTGCCGTGTAGTTCTGGGCTGATCCCTCACCTTCCTCATGATCATTGATGCCCCACGAAGTGAGATCTTGCATGGAACCCCAGACAGAGGGTGATTGACCGTCATCTTGAACTTCTTCCATTTTCTAATAATTGCGCCAACAGTTGTTGCCTTCTCACCAAGCTGCTTGTCTATTGTCCTGTAGCCCATCACAGCCTTGTGCAGGTCTACATTTTTATCCCTGATGTCCTTACACAGCTCTCTGGTCTTGGCCAATGTGGAGAGGTTGGAGTCTGTTTGATTGAGTGTGTGGACAGGTGTCTTTTATACAGGTAAAGAGTTCAAACAGGTGCAGTTAATACAGGTAATGAGTGGAGAACAGGAGGGCTTCTTAAAGAAAAACTAACAGGTCTGTGAGAGACGGAATTCTTACTGGTTGGTAGGTGATCAAATACTTATGTCATGCAATAAAATGCAAATTAATTACTTAAAAATCATACAATGTGATTTTTCTGGATTTTTGTCCGTCTCTCACAGTTGAAGTGTACCTATGATAAAAATTACAGACCTCTACATGCTTTGTAAGTAGGAAAACCTGCAAGATCGGCAGTGTATCAAATACTTGTTCTCCCCACTGTATATAAGTTGTTTGTCATAAAATATGGTCTCTCTAGCTCTATCGATCTGATTAATTAGAAAAAAAAAACGAAAAGTGTTACTTTCGTCCCGGTTCTCCCCTACAGAATCAAGCTCACAGTTGCTTCAAACTCACAGTTATTCACTAGTCTGCATAATATTTTACTTACTTCAGCATTTGCTAGGTTGCTGTGCTCAAGCATTCCCCCTCTCATTGACCCCTCCTAGGTGTACGTGACCCTGAATGGCCTGTTGTCCAGACAACCCTTTGCGGTCGGCGGCTCCGGAAGCGCCTACGTCTATGGGTTTGTTGATGCAGAGTACCGGAAGGCCATGAGCAAAGAGGACTGCCAACAGTTTGTTGTCAACAGTGAGTGACAGTGCACTTTTAAAATACAGCTATGTGTCGATATATGACCTAAACAGCATGAATTAGACGCTATTAAGATGTGTCATTTGTCAATAATATACTCTCCCTTGCTCTCTCTTTCTTCACCTCTCCTCTCTCAGCACTTTCATTGGCCATGAGTCGAGATGGTTCCAGCGGAGGTGTGGCCTACCTTGTCACTATCGATGAAAAGGGTGCGGAGGAGAAATGCATCCTGGGCAACGAGTTGCCCACTTTTTATGATCAGTGAAAACTGGGTTGTGAAAACAGTAACATTCAAGTAGTCGTAGTTATGAAACAGTGAGTGGACATATGGCCACCTTAGGAACTAACAGTACTATTACATCTACACAGGATATAGCATGTTTGGATAGGGGTATGAATCATGCTGGCACAATGTTCAATATTCTCATCCCCACATTACTACACATACTATTTTCAAATTATTCATAATTGTTATGCCCATTGTGAAGACACTTGTTTTATTTTGGGTAGCCGGGGACCTCATGATGGACTGTGTCTTTGGGTGATTCACAAGTCAATAAACCATCTCTCAATTAAACTTTCCTTGGATATTTCTCTGGATGTTTTTTTCAAACCCAAAACAACTCTTCAATAAGTATTTTGCTACCATCAAAAGGTATGGTAATTTGTGTTATTATGATTATGTCTACCGGTATAGAAGCCATGCACTGGCCATTGGAATATTCGTAGCAAATTGTATTCATTTTAGGTGATGAGTCATCAGTTACCAAGTGGAAATTAAGCCAGCAGGTTTCATTATCAACTCATTGTTGACTTTTGTGTTCATTAAAGCTAGTCTATGACCTACATTAGCCTACTTAGGTTATCCTAGTGAGTGGTCAAGGTGAAATAATAGACAATATATCAGCTATTATGGGGTTAATGAGATCACAGACATGGTCACGTATGTCTGTGGACTGTGGGAACTGTTACCTCATCTGAATTCCAAAAGGCGCCAAAGCGGGGAGTGCGCAAGAGACCACATGCGTACACAAAAAAGGGGTTCTAAAGGGGATCTTCGGTTGTCCCCATAGGATAACCTTTTTTGGTTTCCATGTAGAACCCTCGGTGGAAAGGGATTTACATGGAACCCAAAAGGGTTCTACCTGGAACCGAAAAGGGTTATTCAAAGGGTTCTCCAATGGGGAGAGCACTTTTAGGTTCTAGATAGCACCCTTTTCCCGCCGAAGAATGTAGGATAAACCTGTCACCATTAACCATTAGGTTAAGTGCGCGAGCATTATTGTCTGGTATTTATTAATGCACCGAATACAAGCTAAATGGAAAGGTGCATAATAATGTGGAGAAGAATTCCCCCTCTGATTCTGATTAGGGCATATCGGAAACTGAAACTGAAACTAAAACGCAGCCTCTGAAAACAACTGAACCCAGTCCATTCAGTTGAAAGGATCTTCATGAATTCGGGGACTTGCCATCTCTCACCTTTTAATTAATAGGTTATACATGAAAAAACATTTAGATGACAAAAGTTATGCTTAGAACGTGCGCGTTTGCTATGGCTGTAGGTCTATGCATTGACATAGCCACATTTTGCGCACTGAGTTTTGGCTCATCTATTTACAAAACTGGACCAATAACTTTTGATGCTTTCAGAAATCTGGTGCGTCTATGGGTTGTAGCGGGGTTTCGATTAGTTCTACTCGGTTTATCGCTACTCACACTAGGATCGATAAAACCCGTATTCAAGCGCTGGTTAGCGGCGCACTGTTTCCTTGCCCCAGTCTACGAGACCGGGCGTCTGATGGTGCATGGGTGTTCCCAGGAGAGTGCGTATGGACCGTTGGGGCTGGGGGGTCCAAGTTTGTGGCTATTGTGTACCGCGGCAGCAGCTGCAGCAGCCTTATTTTGGGAGACAACCTTCCCTGACAGCAATGGAGAAAGTAACGGGAAACAGAAGAAGCAGAAGGCACGAGTGCTGTTCATGAGAGTCCTCATCTTCTACAGACCAGACACCCTTCTTTTGGTTGGGGCGTTTATATTCCTGTCACTGGCTGTCCTCTGTAAGTATTTAATTGTTGTTTTGACAAAATTAGTATTATATGATGATGAAGGGGATGATGATTTTTGTGACGATGATGATAATGATGGAGAAGATGATGAGGACGATGGTGATATTGATGATGAAGAAGAAGAAGATGATGATGATGATGATGATGATGATGGAGATTATGAAGATTATGATGATGGTGGTGGTGTGTGTTTTCAGGTGAGATGTTCATCCCATTCTACACTGGAAAGGTGATTGACATCTTGGGTACCAGGTACAAGTGGAATGACTTTCTCACAGCTATCATCCTCATGGGACTTTACTCTTTGGGAAGGTAAGTAGATACAACAGTACAGTGAGGGAAAAAAAGTATTTGATCCCCTGCTGATTTTGTACGTTTGCCCACTGACAAAGAAATGATCAGTCTATAATTTTTATGGTAGGTTTATTTGAACAGTGAGAGACAGAATAACAACAACAAAATCCAGAAAAACGCATGTCAAAAAAGTTATAAATTGATTTGCATTTTAATGAGGGAAATAAGTATTTGACCCCCTCTCAATCAGAAAGATGTCTGGCTCCCAGGTGTCTTTTATACAGGTAACGAGCTGAGATTAGGAGCACACTCTTAAAGGGAGTGCTCCTAATCTCAGCTTGTTACCTGTATAAAAGACACCTGTCCACAGAAGCAATCAATCAATTAAATTCCAAACTCTCCACCATGGCCAAGACCAAAGAGCTCTCCAAGGATGTCAGGGACAAGATTGTAGACCTACACAAGGCTGGAATGGGCTACAAGACCATCGCCAAGCAGCTTGGTGAGAAGGTGAAAACAGTTGTTGCGATTATTCGCAAATGGAAGAAACACAAAAGAACTGTCAATATCCCTCGGCCTGTCGCTCCATTCAAGATCTCACCTCGTGGAGTTGCAATGATCATGAGAACGGAGAGGAATCAGCCCAGAACTACACGGGAGGATCTTGTCAATGATCTCAAGGCAGCTGGGACCATAGTCACCAAGAAAACAATTGGTAACGCACTACGCCGTGAAGGACTGAAATCCTGCAGCGCCCGCAAGGTCCCCCTGCTCAAGAAAACACATATACAGGGCTGTCTGAAGTTTGCCAATGAACATCTGAATGATTCAGAGGAGAACTGGGTGAAAGTGTTGTGGTCAGATGAGACCAAAATCGAGCTCTTTGGCATCAACTCAACTCGCCGTGTTTGGAGGAGGAGGAATGCTGCCTATGACCCCAAGAACACCATCCCCACCGTCAAACATGGAGGTGGAAACATTATGCTTTGGGGGTGTTTTTCTGCTAAGGGGACAGGACAACTTCACCGCATCAAAGGGACGATGGACGGGCCATGTACCATCAAATCTTGGGTGAGAACATCCTTCCCTCAGCCAGGGCATTGAAAATGGGTCGTGGATGGGTATTCCAACATGACAATGACCCAAAACACACGGCCAAGGCAACAAAGGAGTGGCTCAAGAAGAAGCACATTAAGGTCCTGGAGTGGCCTAGCCAGTCTCCAGACCTTAATCCCATAGAAAATCTGTGGAGGGAGCTGAAGGTTCGAGTTGCCAAACGTCAGCCTCGAAACCATAATGACTTGGAGAAGATCTGCAAAGAGGAGTGGGACAAAATCCCTCCTGAGATGTGTGCAAACCTGGTGGCCAACTACAAGAAACATCTGACCTCTGTGATTGCCAACAAGGGTTTTGCCACCAAGTACTAAGTCATGTTTTGCAGAGGGGTCAAATACTAATTTCCCTCATTAAAATGCAAATCAATTAATAACATTTTTGACATGCGTTTTTTCTGGATTTTTTTGTTGTTATTCTGTCTCTCACTGTTCAAATAAACCTACCATTAAAATTATAGACTGATCATGTCTTTGTCAGTGGGCAAATGTACAAAATCAGCAGGGGATCAAATACTTTTTTCCCTCACTGTATATACGGTCTCCATCAATATCGCACATTCCACATTGTAGGTTGTATCGTTTAACAATGTTGGTGATTGAAGACACTGACCTCTCTGCTGTGATGTGAACATCAGATTGATTATTCCAACACAACTGTAGCTTATGGTGTTTGTTTGTTGCAGCTCTTTCAGTGCAGGCTGTCGTGGAGGCCTCTTCATGTGTGCTATCAACAGCTTCACCTGCAGAATGAAAGTGAAGCTGTTTGGGGCCCTGGTAAAGCAGGAGATCGGCTTCTTTGAGACCATCAAGACAGGTAGAGGCACATTGATGATTCCAAACATCTTATGATGGTGATCCGAAAGTATGATCAGTGTGCAATCTGTTGTCTTTCTGGATCAAGTTGCAACCTTGTTTGTTTATGACATTACTACTGTAGCTGAAATTGACTTTCTATGGAACTTCCTTTGTCATCCAATGGACTGTCCTCTGATGCGTGGCAGAATATCTCTTGAACACACCACCAGTTTGTTCTTCTATGCTCCTTGGTTATTCAACCTTTCACCTGTGAACTGTCGTAGGTGATATCACGTCCAGGCTGTCCACAGACACCACCCTGATGGGCCGGGCGGTGGCCCTAAATGTCAATGTCCTCCTGAGGACCCTCATTAAGACCGTGGGTATGCTGTCGCTCATGATGAGCCTATCCTGGAAGCTCACTCTGCTCATGCTGATGGAGACGCCCATCACCGGCCTGCTGCAAAGCGTCCATGACAACTATTACCAGGTATAGTACAGTCGTTTGTGTCCAGAACAGAAGGTCCAGAAATTATCTATTGGTCCCTGCAAGCCCTGAAATGATTAGCTTATTTTTGGTGTGAATATACAGTACATAAGATGGTGACTGCTAAATGTACTGGGTAACCTTATAAAGTCTAGTAAATGTTATTGTGGATTGACTGTTCCTCAGAGGCTCTCTAAGGAGGTGCAGGACTCCATGGCCAGGGCGAACGAGGCAGCGGGGGAAACAGTTGCGGGAATCCGGACAGTACGAAGCTTCAAAACTGAGCAGCGTGAGACTGGTCGCTATAACAACAGGTTGATGGACACCCACAATCTTAAGACCAGGCGGGACACCGTCAGGGCAGTCTACCTGCTCCTGAGAAGAGTGAGTATGCAGGGATCACTCCCTGTCCCCTTATTCTCAAAATACTTCAATGCTTTTTACTTGATTGAGAATAAGGCAAACTGCCGGTCACCAGTTCTTGTGATCGTCAGTGCATGTACTCATCACATTCTGTGTGTTTGTATGTTACAGCTAACAGCGCTGGTAATGCAGGTGGTCATGCTGTACTATGGCAGACTGTTTATCCAGCGAGGTCAGATGAGCACCGGGAACCTGGTCTCTTTCATTCTCTACCAGTCTGACATGGCAGACAATATCAGGGTACGGTAATGCTACTTTATCATTGTCTCAGCCCCATCATTCACAGCAAGGCAAATGTCTTATCAACAACCGTTAATGTTCCATTGACGATTAAGAGGTGAATAAATATTACAAGTTTAATGGCAATGCATTTATTACTAAGTACATCATGTAAAAGTTGCTATAGAGACGAGAAAGATCAATGTTAGGGAATACAAAATACATATTTTTAATAGTGTAGAAACTGTTAGTCCAAAGTCTAACATGTATTGAGTTACGATGACACAATTCTGTATAATAAATCTGCCCTCTGCCCTCTCAGACTTTGATTTACATTTTTGGCGACATGCTGAATTCGGTGGGGGCAGCTGGTAAGGTGTTTGAGTACCTGGACAGAGAGCCCCAGGTCAGCACCAAGGGGACCCTCCAACCAGAGACCTTGACTGGACACGTCCACTTCAACAACCTATCCTTCTCCTATCCTACCCGCCAGGAACGTAAAGTACTGCAGGTAAAGCTCACCTGGGAGGAGGGTAAAACATAAGGCAACCTTACCGGGCAGTTTCGTCATCACCACATTTTTGCCTTTCCTTGTGCCATTGCTGAGGTAGTGTGTCATTGGCTCTCTGCTTGTGTTAGGGCTTCTCTCTGGAGCTGAGGCCGGGTCAGCTGACTGCTCTGGTGGGGCCGTCAGGAGGGGGGAAGAGCACCTGTGTCAGTCTGCTGGAGAGGTTCTACCAGCCTCAGCAGGGAGAGATCCTATTGGACGGACTGCCACTGCAGAGCTACCAGCACCACTACCTACACAGGAAGGTAATATAGACAGTAACCAGCACCACTACCAACACACGTGCACCACAAAGTCATAAGACTATACCTACACAGATATTGCCACTTTTACATCTCTAGAGAAAGCATAGCAGTCAAGATAACTTACTTTATCGTGCCTTTATGGCTACCAACATTATAAGAATTTTCGCAGGAAAAAAAACAATGCATTGGTTTTGATTGGCTGATTGGTGATTAGTTTTGCCCTATGATTGGTTTTGCCCTACCAGGTGGCCATGGTGGGCCAGGAACCTGTTCTGTTCTCTGGGTCCATAAAGGACAACATTGCCTATGGTCTGGCAGACTGCTCTCTGGAGAGGGTACAGGAAGCTGCTCGCAGAGCCAATGCCCACAGCTTCATCAGCCAACTGGAGAAAGGTTACGACACAGGTACAATGATCAATGACAAATAGGAATATTATATATATCACTGCTGGATGACCACAGGGAGAGACTCGATAAATGTACTGTCTGTCTGTTCATCTATTAGATGTAGGAGAGCGGGGTGGTCAGCTGTCCGGCGGTCAGAAGCAGCGTATCGCCATCGCCAGAGCTCTGATCAGAGAGCCACAGGTCCTCATCCTGGACGAGGTCACCAGCGCACTGGACACTGAGAGCGAACACATGGTACGGCCTCCCTACTCACATGAACCATATACCTTTAGCCTTTCATCGTTCATACTCTCAATATGGTTAGTGCTAGTGGTTTCACATATGTACTAAGTAGCTATAGCTAGCATTTACATTCTCAATAGGGTTAGAGCTAGCTAGCGGTTTCACTCAGATGTTCCCTCTGTCTCAGGTCCAGGAGGCCCTGGCTAGCTGCCCCTCCCAGACCCTGCTGGTGATTGCTCATAGGCTGAAGACCATTGAGAGGGCGGATCAGATCATTCTGATTGACCAGGGGACCGTCCTGGAGCAGGGCACTCACCAGGAGTTGATGGACAGGAAGGGGAGCTACTACAAACTAAGAGAGAGACTGTTCACGGAAGACGACACACCACATTGACCAAAGCAATGCTACTGTTTGAACTGTAAATAGTAAATATTGAATATAGTTAGATTCGGGGGGTTTTCATAAGAGATGGACACTTCTGTTGGTGACATTTTGTTACCTTGTATGAGTGGTTTTGATTTTATTGTATTGTATTATATTCTTCCTATTCTTCTATTTCTTAATGTTTGATTAATACATAGAGGGGCAGTGAGTGACCCACGTTATAAAACCATGTATAATATTCTGGAGCAAAAGTCTATTACATTGCATATCCAAGAGAATAAATAATCGATTAAACATTTGTATCTTTTGCTAAACCCCCTCACATTTAATCTGACGCTTGTTTTACATTTCCTGTACACATCCATACCCATTGTTGTGAATGCTTTTGTCTAAGTGTAGTATCAGTGTGACAGACTTGCCAGCAGCCATTTTGTGGCGAAGTGTAACCTAAGCATTGGCTTAGAGATAAAATGTTTGCCTGTATTTTTATTGTGCATGAGCTTTTGTCTTACTTTTTAGTGTTGTCTGGTCCACATGAGTGTGTACATGAGCACATTTTATTGTGGTACTGGATGAATGTTTGTTATTTTACCACACAGAGCACAAAGTCTTGGAAAGTCCCTGGAGGCCCGTCCCTTGTTCTTTGCCAATGTTTTTGGCAGTCTGCCTGTCTGCACTACGGCTAAAGCCACAGCAGAATGTCAGTACCTCACCTCCCCCTACAAGAGAACAATAACACATAGACACAGACCTCAGGAGAGATACTGGCAACCATTTTATCACCAGACCTGCAACTATTACACATCACCATGAAATGGCAGCAGTCGAGTGTCATACCAATACTGAGCATTTCCTTTTGAGAATCATTAAGATTTGAAGTATTCACTTGGTCAGTGTCTTGTGAGAGTTTCTGCTCACCTTTACTGTTTGTGCATCTGCAGCACTGGTGCAGACATTCATCATCTAGTCATCCAAATTATCAACTTAATCAAAGTATTGATAAGACATGCCTGAGTTTGTATATTTTGGGGCTGCTGCGATTTGAGCACAGGACATTTGTGAGATAAGTGTCATGTGGCAACATTCATCAACTCTATTATTTTCTCACTAGAAGAAGTTTGCATTGTCAGTTAGTCATATATACAGTATATTTCTCTGTCCCTTTAGGTTGGTGACATATCAACAACAATCCACCTACCCACTGCCAACTGATACCAACAAGAAAGGAGGGAGGGAGAGCACAAACGGGTAATACCAGCGACCATCTCATCTCAAGACCTTCTGGCATCACAAAATGGCCGACAATAACTTGATCTGTCTGGGTGAAGCGGCAATTGTGTAACCACTACATGCCAAATCAGTTGGCTTGCAATCACACCACGTTGTAAAGTCCTTTCTGCCTAAGGGAGAGAGACTGTTCACGGAAGACGACACACCACATTGACCAAAGCAATGCTACTGTTTGAACTGTTAATAGTGATGTCATTTTCTGACTCTCACTCTGACCAATACTCACAACCTCCCAATATACTGTAAATCATGTACACATCATGACAGTGACATGTATAAAGCCAAATGGATGTAAATATTGAACATAGTTAGAGATCGGCAGGTAGCCTAGTGGTTAGACTGCTGGGCCAGTTACCGAAACGTCGCTGGTTTGAATACCCGACCCAACAAGGTGAAATAAATCTGTCGATGTGCCCTTGAGCAAGGCACTTATTTGTAAGTTGCTCTGGATAAGAGTGTCTGCTGAAATGTAAGATTATTTTCTCATCACAGATGGAAACTTCTGTTGGTGACATTTCTTTTTTGAATGAGTTGTTTTGATTTTAACGTATTGTATTGCACTGTGTTCTTTCCTACCCTTTATTTTGAGTGGCCCACACATTCTATTGTTCTTCTGTGACCCCAGTTGACTGTAAAACCATTTATGGAGCAAAGGTCTATTATGTTACCTATCCAAGAGAAGGAACTAGTGTAGTGAAGCTGCAATTGTGTAACCACTCCATGCCAAATCAGTTGGCTTGCAATCACACCCAATGATGTATGTAAATTCTGGATTGCTGATGCTATGTATTGGCTATTGAGAGGCTTTGAAGTCACCGGTCGGCCATATTGGCACTCCCCAGTAAGAGCAGTCCTCTAACAAATGGAATTCTGCTGTATTTCAATTAAATGTTTCAAGGATTAAATTACATGTATTTAAGTATTTTTGTTGTTGTAGTGGGAACACTAACATTAGTCATCTCAAAAAATTATACTTTAAGAAAAATGTTTGTGTTTAGCTCACATAATATAATTTAAAAGTAGCATTAACGTGTCTGTAATACAATAACTGTGGCAAAAAACTATATAAACTATAGCTTGCAAAATATTTCTACTAAGCTATATGGAATTGTTTTAAGAAGGTCATATCAAGGATCATTTTGCTATTTCAGTTAGAATTTTAACACCCCTTAAAGTATCAAATAAAGTGTCTGTCCTATATCTGAGAGATATAAGAAAGATCAGGAATGTATTTAACCCTTTATTTTTGGCACTAAACAGTGTCAATATGTACAACTGGTACCGGAAACCTTCAGGCAAGTCTTGTGAGGCCTCTGGGTGTCCTAGAGCAAAACAACCGTAAGTGTTTGTGAGAGTCTCACCTTTCCACGGAGGGGTCATAATAGTTTGTTGTACCTGCAGCAGCCACATTTGCCAAAGTCTATTTCAGTAACCAAGATAACTGAAAAGGGTTTCCAATGTATGATATTACCATGATATTATATAATATAATATAGTGGACCTAGCGGTATCCAGCTACAGTATTTTGATAGTCCTGATTTTTGATTGTCGGACATATTGGCAGTCCCTAGTAGGAGTAGTCATCCATATAAGAGTTTCCCAAACTCGGTCCTAGCAAAAACAAATGTAGACATTAATAAATGCATTTCTATAGCATCCAAAATATTTGTTTATGATAGTGGGAGAATGCCAAGATGGAGGCACGGTGGCTTCAACACATCGCCCCCTATCAGTCATCTAGTGTATATATAAATTATTGGTTGCACCCCACAGAGGTACAGCATCTCAGCACACTGCCCCCACCACGTGATTTCAAAGAATTTAAACTCAGACCTGGAATTAGGTCACCCATGTGGGAGACAAGAAGGGAAGGGAACTGGCACAATAATAAAATTGAGGACAATCTCAAACTGCTGTTTTGGCTACATGCAAGAATTGTTCTGCTTCAGAAGATTCTGTAGTTGTTGGTTTCCTTACTTGCTGGCTCATCAGAACCTGATCCTTCCTTGATTGCCTAGTAACTGATTATGTAATAGCAGTCTAATCATAGTTGGGAAATCCCAAAACTACTGCCAGGAGTTAAGAGCACTGAGGTATAAAATCATGGTTACTGCTATCCTTGGGACGTCCCTAACATAAACCCTAATCCTAACCTTAACCCCTACCCTTACCCTTACCCTAAACCTGAACCAGAACCCTTACCTAACCCTACCTTAATCGTTACCTTAGCCGTTTTAAATTTCAACTTCAATGAGAGTTCGGACGTCTCAAGAATCCCGCTTAGACATTTTCCAGAAAATAATGGTTATAAGGCACAAATAGATGGCCTTTGCTGCTATCTAGCCAGTGGATGAAATTGGATTTAGGCAAACAACCACATTATTGGCCAGATTTGGCTACTTTTTGTGACACAAATTCTGAAACAATCATAGAAATCATAGAAAACACATTTTACATTTTGAAATGGTGAAGACGTCAAGGGCTTTGTGGTCTGTGGGGAACCTACAGGAAGCCACAGGTGAAGAGAGGAAATAGAGGCAGCACAGATGTGGCTATTATTTTAGGTCACACACATCCCTCATGGCAGCTTTCAAAATAACTCATTGTTGACTTTAGGACTCACAGGGTGAGCCACACTCTTATTTAGATTGATGGGGCAGCGGTAGAGGCTGTAGATAGTTTCAAATCCCTGTATATTCAGATCTCTGTGTAGGCCTATAGTTACTCTATGCATACCAAGGGACGAATGAGCTGAATATCCAACTCTTCCTGTAAATGTGTTTATCTTGATGCCTTGCTAGATTATGTATATATCTTTTCCATCCTATCTTTTTCAATTCTCCCTCGACCCCACTTTATATAAGCAATAAGGCCCGAGGGGGTGTGGTATATGGCTGTTCTTACGCACGAAGCAATGAGGAGTGCTAGGACACAGCCCTTAGCCGTGGTATATTGGCCATATATCACAAACTCTGAGGTGCCTTATTGCTATTATAAACTGGTTACCAATGTAATTAGAGCTGTAAAAATAAATGTTTTGTCATACCCGTGGTATACGGTCTGATATACCACGCCTGTCAGCCAATCAGCATTCAGGGCTCGAACCACCCAGTTTATAATTAAGGATATACAAGCTGAGGAACAAGGAGAGGATCTCAGTATCTGCTGCCTCTAAGCTCCTTGCCAACATGGTGGTCTCCATGTGCACAATGATACAGTTAAAGTCGGAAGTTTACATACACTTAGGTTGGAGTCATTAAAACTTGTTTTTCAACCACTCCACAAATTTATTTTTAACAAACTATAGTTTTGGCAAGTCGGTTAGGTCATCTACTTTGTGCATGACACAAGTCATTTTTCCAACAATTGTTTACAGACAGATTATTTCACTTATAAGTCACTGTATCACAATTCCAGTGGGTCAGAAGTTTACATACACTAAGTTGACTGTGCCTTTAAACAGCTTGGAAAATTCCAGAAAATGATGTCATGGCTTTAGAAGCTTCTGATAGGCTAATTGACATCATTTTAGTCAATTGGAGGTGTACCTGAGGATGTATTTCAAAGCCTACCTTCAACCTCAGTGCCTCTTTGTTTGACATAATGGGAAAATCAAAAGAAATCAGCCAAGACCTCAGAAAGAAAATTGTAGACTTCCACAAGTCTGGTTCATCCTTGGGAGCAATTTCCAAACGCCTGAAGGTACGTTCATCTGTACAAACAATAGTAC